CCAGAACACCAGTTTCAAACCTACCGAAACCTCTGTAACATCTTCCCGGCATATGTGGTCCATTTGGTCATGGAGGAGAACCCTCACATGACCGATCCCCAGCAGCTGGCTGCCGTCATCGTCACTAAACTGCGCTCTTGCCATTAAGCACATCACAAAAGGCTGCTAACTACAACACCACAATATTTAGATATCCTAGTGAATGAGAAATTGGACGCCTTGAGAATTTCGTATTTTTGTTTCACTCTGAAGAAACAGCCAGCCCCCATATGTAATTATGATTGGATTGGATCCATTAGGAGGTTGGCTAGCATGATAGCATTGATGCTGCATTGGTTATTATGTAATCTGTTAAGCCATATGGGAGCCTGGATCTTGTACCTTGAAAAGTTTAGCATAGAAACGTGAGATCCCTCATAAAAAAGTCCTGCTTTCTCCACCGTTTAGCTCCTGAGATGGGCCAAAAAGTTCTTAAGGTTGTTCATAAAGCCGACTCAAAAGTGTATCCACATTGAGAGAGCAACTGCCTGCCAGTTTGATGGCAGATCTTGAGAATGTGTTATTTCGTTGGTGATGATAACATTTATCCTTTGAAAAAGAGTTACATGAGAGAAATCTCTTTGGTAAAACCGATCAGAAATGATCCTGCACAATATGAATAGTATTGTGTATGTATATGTGTATTCACTTGCATTTGCGTGTAAATATGACGTGACACCGTAGTGTGGTTTTTTTGGTGTGCGTGATGACTTGATGTGTGATTTTGGAAAGAGGAATGAACGCTTGCGTACCTCAAAGCATGACCTTTGAACTTTTATGGCCTTACATCGGAGCGACCTCACCACACATTAATGTGAATAGTACTTAATAGTTGTGGAGGTCGCTGTTTTGCATTTGTTTTATAGAAGCGAGCACTGGGACAGAAAGATTTAGATTCTGCCGTGCTGCAGTTCAGACTTTTTAATTGGCTGGGCTGTAACTGCAAACCGGCCCTGCAACGTCTGTTCGCACACATGCACGGATACGTATTTACGAAGCCATTTTAAAAGATTGAGCTAAACAGAAAATCAGTGTACATTTTCCTGATCTGAAAGCACTAGGTATATCTAGTTGGAGAAGATATTATTCATATGTGTTTGCTAAATGTTGTTGTTGTATTGTAGATTTTAAGAGAGATGTTTGAGTAAGCATGGGCTTCAGTAAATCTCTCCCAGACAGCATGTTAGCACTATGCTTGACAGAGAGCGCCGCTCACGTTTGGCTCATTAGTCGATAACTATGCTCAAGTGTTCACAAACTGGGGAGGAGAATGCGTCTCTTCGGCAAAATGCTCTTGTACAGCATCTATTTCCTGATTGATGCCGAGAGACCACCCCATTTCATCTGCTCCGCCCTGTAAGTTAACATATTTTCAGGAGAGCGTGAATGTTATTGGTCCAGAGATGCTCTGGGTGTTTTAAAAAGAGACTTAAATTGCTCCTTCATTTTTTTTCATGAGCACAGGAGTGGCCCCGTAGGGCCCCGTTACTGCTCATGGGAAGGTGTGACACACTGCCTACCTGTCTCTTCCTGTGCGACACACACACGGAACACCAGGCTGTTGTTGGGTTGTTTCTGACATTTGGCTGACAGTTCGCTTGCTGCCTCTCTACCGCCCCTGACCCTGCTTCGACTTGGACATGAAACCCAACCTCTCAGCTCTCTAATACGAACATGGACGGTTCTCCTTCCCTTTAGTTTTATTTTTCAACAAGGTTCTTCCAGAAAGCCATTAATTATTTTTTCTTTTCTTTTTACAATCTCTGATTTTTTTTTTTTGTTCAAAAATATTTTAAAATGTTTTTTTTTAATGATTATTTACACATTTTAGGCCAGAAACATATTTATGCAAGTACATAATTGTAGACACTAATGCTTGATCAATGACATCATGAAAACTTTATTGGCTAATAGCATCACAAGAATGTTCACATTCCTAAATCCTTCCCTAGCGTCCGTCTTGAACTGACATCAAAGACAGCAAATGATAAAATATCCCATTTCACACTGAATGGGAATGGGAATTTCAGAAAATCTAGAACTGTCAAAAAATGTACTATAAAATTATTATTTAAAAAAAATATTTTTAAAAATGTTATGCTCTAATAATTGTGCGTTTACTATTGCCTGCTATCGTACAAATTGTGTCAGAGTTGCAGTTCTGTTGTGTTATGAATTGTGACATATTTTGGAATGCAATGACGTGAAATCCAGCTAGAAGTGTTAAGGTGTGGTCACATTTAATGTTTGGCTAATTTTTGCAGGCTAAATGCAGCCATTTAAATAGGAATCCACAGGATTGGGAATTTACTTGAGGGCAATAGATTTCCCCACAGAGATTTCGCAACTGGTTCAAGTTGGTCACGTAGACTGACAATAGACATTTTTTGCCCACAAACTTTCGCTAATGTGACTGCACCTTTAGCATCATTCATGTACTTACACAGCGTATGTTTCAGGCCTAAATTTCTATTTTTGTTTGAGATGGAAATGTTTTTACGGTTGGGTTTCTCCATTTCTCCTTCTCCTCCGAACCTAGGAGCAAAAAATCCTGAAGGAGGTGTTTCTAGAGCAGGGGTGGGCAAACTTGGCCCTTCCAGGTCACTTTCCTTCAGAGTTTAGCTCCAACTCTAATCAAACACACCTGAACCAGCTAATCTCTCTCCTCTCGTTCCTCCTTTACTTTTCCATGCCTTGAAATTTGCTGTTTGATGGTTATTTTGGAAAGTGATAGTTTACCTCAGTGGAACTGAACTTCATATCTGTTTGACTGAAGCCACACACCCAACCCTGTTTCATATCTGTTTGACTGATTTTTAGGGCGTGGCTTTATTTATCATCATTCAGTCTCTCTCTGTTAAAGGTATAGATTCAGGAGAGACACATTCTGACACAATCTGTGTACTCCTAATATATTTTTCCTCTTTGTAAATATTGAAAATTAATGTCAATCCTCTTGTATTTGCACAGTATTAGTGCATTTCACATACATAAAGACACTCTACCAGCTTATCCGTGCAGGATCTCTCATACACACACTTAAGACTCGACGGGTTGCCTTGACAACCGCAGTCAGCTGATCACATGCTATCATTAGTACTGATATAACGTAAAATGTTGACTATTGTGTGCGCTGGTGTGAATTTATGGTAAATTCACTGCTGTTTCACCTGTAACATAGTTTACCTTCTACAGTAAAGTCATGGAGGTTCCAGGTTGAAGATGAGACTTTAATAGGATGGAATTTGCACAATGTTTTTTATTTTGATTTTTTTATTTAGCAAGTAGGTGAGTTTGGGCAAATGAAGTTGACGCCACACGCGCACATTCTCTCATGAGTAAAATGTGAGCTTTATTTGAGTGTCGTACTGAAAGATGTCTACACAAACACATGAACACTCACCTCGTAACCTGCCTTACAGTTTAACTACTTTGGTTACTACTTGCGCTTCTTGCTTGTTTTTTCTATTCTCATAAGCGGAAGTGCTAATGAGAAGATGAGTTTTGTTGGTTTCAGCTCTCTACTGGTGTCTGAATGGACAACCTGATTTAATTGCACGAACTGCCATTTATTCTGATTAAGCTTGACTAGAATGTCCGAGAAGAAACTACAGGACAACCGGACATGCCCAAAGGAGAAAAACGTAAAAAAAATAAAGCAAACGGGCATTTCAAACTGTCAGAAGAGATGTTTCTTCCCATCGCTGGTTGCAGAGCTGATTTAATCTGTACATTTACATGTATGTTTTCAATATTGAATACACCAGCTATTACTCGCTCAAACAAACACTCTCACCAACCGATTGATTCTCAGGAACAAACAGATGTATTATTATTATTTCAGCTCCTTTATGAAAGACATTATCTTCGATGTTTGCTCTTATAAAACTGCATTGTGAAGTAGCGTGGATGATCGTGAAAACGTGTTCTTAAATTCGAGTTTGGTTCATTTAACATTCCCCCCCTTTGTATTGTATTGTGGTTTTTTTTTTCGCCTTCTTAGGTTGACTGAGTGGTCTTAACACTTTTGAGTCTCGTGCTGTGATGAAGATGACATACAATAGTATGTTTTACTCTCTACTGAATGAAACGTTGCTTTTAAACTTGTTTTCAGTATGACAAAAACATGAACCAGAAAAAAAAGAAGAAAGTGAAATAGGGTGGAAAACCTTTATAACGCTTTGGGTCTGTGGACTCAAACAAAATGTAAGTCTCAATGACAAAAGGTGTTTGTTCCTCTCAATAAAGCCAGACTCTATTTGGTTAACTGTTATCATGCCTGTGTTCCTATTGGTTGCTTGTTTGACTGTAGATAGCAAAATGGAATGAAGTCATACAGAGGAAGTAAGATAGTAAGATATTGCAAAACACCAGAGCAAGATACAATTATTCAGTTAGTACAGAGGCCCCAACACTCACACTTTAGTCCCTTAAAATGTAAGTGTTCAATTGTATTAGATACAAAATGTTAAACCAAGTGGTGATGGTAAACATTTTGAATGCTTTTTAAATGAGTATCTTATGCTCACAAAGGCTGCATTTATTTCATAAAAAAATTTAATATTGTGAAATATTACAGTTTAAAAATAAACATTTCAATACATTTTAAAATATAATTTATTCCTGTGATGGCAAAGCTGAATTTTAGCAGCCATTACTCCAGTCTTCAGTGTAACGTGGTCCTTCAGAAATTATTCTAATATACTGATTGGGTGCTCAAGAAACGTTATCAATGTTGAAATCAGTTGTGCTACAAGATTTTTTTTTGTAGAAACCATATTTTTTTTATTTTTTATTATTTCATAAGTTGAAAAGAACAGCTTTTGTTTGAAATCTTTCGTAACAAATATATTTACTGTCACTCAGTTTAATGCATCCTTGCAAAATAAATATTTTCCCATTCACCAAAACTTTTGAACGGTAGTATGCATTTTTAAGTGTTCAAATACATTTTGGGGCCACTGTATATAAGTGACTATAACAATCAGATGTGGGATAAGACCACAAAATTGTGCCGCTACTGGTTTTGGGATTGCAGCCCATTTCAGAACAGATTACCAGAATGTAGCAGGTCTTTGCAAAGAAGCTGATATTAAAGGATGTTCAGTCACTCTTAACGGAAGTAATTTACATGGAGGTTTAACATGAACAGCATGTTCAATAATATAACTCCAGTGCAACAAACCTGGACCTCAAGAAACAGAAGAAAAAAAAAAGATGTAACAGATGAGTACACAATACAAAATGAAGTTTATTTGGCAACTTTGTCTTCAAAAATAATGTCATGTAATTTACAACATTTCTCAAACAGCACCTACTTCTTCATTAGAACCTCGTGAGACATTGCTCATGGGAGTTTCACTTCTGGATGGTTTGAACAGATGCCAAGAGCTGAAGGACTGAGCTGAGCCGATCAAACTGTAGCCTGGACCGTAACTTATAACACTAGAGTGAGACAGACAACCGATATTCCTTCTAACAAAGATGGACACGAACTATAAAAGAAAAACGGCTTAATGTTTAATGTGTGTGTGTCTAGAAGAGCCTCAGTCCAGCTTGGGCCTCAAATGTTTGTCTTTAACATCATAGGGTTCATAGTTCAGGGTCGGTTGCTCAATATCTTATGGCCGCTGAGTATCTGAGTGTGTGTTAGAACAGCTTGAGTCCAGCTTTGAGTTTGCTCAAATCACTATGAGTCCAAAGCGGCCCATCTGATCCACTGGCTCTGCTCTGAAGGGGAACACTGTGGATAAAGATTCATTTTTATGAAAATCATATTACAACATATTAACTAAATGTTCCTAACTTCTAAAGTTTCTAACTCCTCTCACCTCCTGTTGCCATGGTGCCGGGGGAGTTGATCTAGCTCTACCTGCTGGTCAAACACAGTAAATGTAGAATAACACTCCACCATCAAACAGGAGGGGTCCTCTGGTTGTCCTGGAACCTTTCCTAGCGGATACTGTTTCCAGGGGACTTTATCTGATTGGACACAAAAACATCAGAGTTAAGAACTGCAACCAAATCATTTAAAACCATCTCAGGATTTACTACTAATTTACCAACTACAGTTGCTTGAGGAGCAAAATGAGGTGCCCTCAGTCCTCATCAGTGATTGGCCAGATGATAGAAGGGTGGGGCTTTGAGATGTCACTCTTCAATCACATTAAACACCAGTTGACATTACTTGTGCTAATTCATCCTAGTATTTGGGGTCATGGAAACAGACTGTCCCCCATGTGAAATGACTGGAAGTGTGCAGATGGTCTAAATTTATGAATAAATGTATTATTCAAGTAACAAATGTGGAAGCATTTCATTTATTTCTAATAAACTGCAGACATGCTGCAGCACAAACATCACATTTCATAAACACAAGGCAATCTGTAAACTAACTGCAGTGTTAATTTGGCATTATTTATATGCTATTATAGTTTTTAGAATTTTTTTTTTTAAATTTCATTTTAATTTGAATAATATTCTTATTTGTTTTTATGATTTTTACTATTTTAATAATTCTATTTAGTTTTATTTTGTATTTCAGTTTTAGTTTTATTAATCTTAGTACTTTAAATGTAATTAAAAATGTTGCTTGGCAACAAACCATTATAAAATAAGCAGAAATGTTAATTTAACATTTAATTTTATTTCAATTAATAAAAATGTTTTATAATTGTTTTAAAGTTAGATTGGAAGGTAGAATGTACACTGTGTTATCTATATAGTGTCAATTTAAAATCTAGCCATTGTTAGCAATAGGTGGGAAAATGTATATGTATGCAATATTTCATAAACAAATGACTCCTATGAACTGGTTCTTTTTAATGACTTGAAATTTGAACTCACTTGTGAGTTAGTGGATTCAATCAACCTCATACAATTGACCTCACTGAACAAGAATTAACAAATTAATAGTAAATATAATTCATATAAGAAAATGAAATACTTAACAAAAAAAGCAGGTGAGGTTGTGTGAGTGTTACCTGTGCACACGCTCCATGCAGATCCCCGTAATGCAAAGTTTCTCTCTTGTACAGTTTCTGCGCTTAGCTTTTCCTGGAGCTCCTCTGTGGGCGGAGCCTGCACAGATCCAGGGGTGTGGTTAGATGAGGTGTCTCTGTTCTGTGACGCGTTACTCTTGAGTCTCTCCTGAAGGTTTTGTAGGGTGTACACAGGCTGAGCTGGGTCTGAGGGTCCGGGGGATGAGTTTCCATGGTGACCCTGTGTGTAAATGCTGCAGAGCTGAAGCAGGTTCTGCTGGGCGTCATGTGGGAGGGGCTGGTCCATGTCACTCAAAATCCTTAAAAGGCAAGAAGTAAAATTAGATTAGCTACTTTCACCCACACTGTATGTGTAAATATGTGTGCACGTTTACTCACTGTCGCAGAAGAAACGGTGTAGCTGGGCATGGTGCGTTCACACATGCAGAAATCAGATTCTGCCATGGAAACTGTAATCTGTTCATGAAGATCCTTTCCTTGGATATTTTTAGTCGCTTGTGAGCCTTTAATTCACCTGCCACACACATAGACTTTGTTAAAAGAAGTTTAGAAGTTTAACACAGTGCATTTTAAAAACTATGGGTTTCATTTACTAAGCGTGTACACACACACACACATATATTTAAATAATAAAATAGATAAAAAAAAAAAAACATTAAAAATATGGCAAAAAGTTTTTGGACACTTTCTTTGGATTATTTTAAGAGAGAAGATTTTCACACCAAGGAAAGTTTTAACATTTTTGTTAAATGATGATAGATGTTTAAATCAATATATCAGAAGTTGGTTTAATGGAGTACTTTATAAAATAAAAACATCTATTTTCGTAGACTAAAATGTAATAAAATTAATGAATATGACAGGACGAAAGATTTTCAAAACGGCATTCATACCCTTTTAATGTGTTGCTGTCCCCATTGACTTCTATAATATGGAAAAAAAATATCAAGTAACAAGTCAACAGGGACTCGCATTCTTCAAAGTTTCTTCTTTTGTGTTCAGCAGAAGAAATTCATACAGGCTTGGAACAACTTGAGGGTCAGTCAGTATATGATAGAATTTTCATTTTTGGGTGAACTATCCCTTTAAGTGTCCAAATACTTTTTAAAGGCCACTGTATAATATATATTACCACAGAGACCCAGAAGACGTCTCAGATTCATACTTTTGCTATTGCAGAGTAAAATTTCAGAGATCCAGGAGGCGATGTAGTAAGTTCTGTGACTGGATGGCTCATTCGAGAGCTCGGCGAACAGTTTGTCAAGGATCAGATTTATAAAGATGGATGAATTCAAGACCTTCAAACATGGCAACCAGAAGTGCAAAAACACTCGAGGAAGACATGGGGCGAACATGTCGACAGAGTCCTCTACAGAGAAAGAGGGAGAGAGGTAAATTTATTTTATGAGAGCTAATTCCTTCATGCTTTCCTGCGTTCTAAACAAAATCTCGTGCATTTGTACCTGAGGGGTCAATATCCAAAGACTCCAGTTGTTCTGCGGTGGGAATAAGGAATCCATCCTGAAGTAAAACATCAACAAGGATGTCTCTGTAACACAGACAGAACAGATGGCAATGAGACACATACTCTTTACCATATCAGAAATAAAGTCTTGCTCAGTTGAACACATGCACACACCTGGCCTCTGTGGCGAAGTGTTTGATCTGCGTCAGGATCCAGCTGAGATCAGCGCTGGCATCCGGCCACATGCCACGCTGCCCTCCCTGCTTTGCCAGCTCTTCGTACGTCTGCCAAACACACCAAAAACAATGGGCACAACATGATCAACAACTTGAAACGGCTTGCATTAATAACAGAAACATCCATTCCTTACCAAACACCACTACATGTTTTTAGCTTGTGTCTATCCCACAGACCCACAAGACAGTTTTATACACATACCAAAAACACCCAAGTTTCACCGAGTGTTTTATGAATACAGTGTATTCAGACATACTACTCATTTGAAATACTTTTTGGATACTATATAGTAGTGAAATAGGCATATATAGGCACAGGTTCTCGGTGCATGAGGAACAATTCCAACACTTGTCATCTGATGTTATTAAAGGGTTACTCCACCCCAAAATGAAAATTGTCATTAATCACTTACCCGCATGTCGTTCCAAACCCGTAAAAGCTTCGTTCGTCTTCGGAACACAATTTAAGATATTTTGGATGAAAACCGGGAGGCTTGTGACTGTCCCATTGACTGCCAAGTAAATAACACCATCAAGGTCCAGAAAAGTATGAAAGACATCGTCAGAATAGTCCATCTGCCATCAGTAGTTCAACCGTAACATTATGAAGCGACGAGAATACTTTTTGTACGCGAAGAAAACAATAATAATGACTTTATTCAACAATTCGTCCCCTCTGTGTGTCTCTGCATCACCGTAGTGCCATTTTGGAGAATAACCACTGCAGTAGTTCAAACGTAACATTATGAAGCGACGAGAATACTTTTTGTACGCGAAGAAAACAATAATAATGACTTTATTCAACAATTCGTCCCCTCTGTGTGTCTCTGCATCACCGTAGTGCCATTTTGGAGAATAACCACTGAAAGCAAGCAGTGTACGCTCTTCTGTGTCAGCTGCGCCACACGGACACGCTGTTTTAGTTCAAATCAAAGCGTAAATACACGCAGAAAACGTATCCTTGTGTCGCGGCTGACACAGAACAGTATACACAGTTTGGGTTCAGCGGATATTCTCCAAAATGGCACTACGGTGATGCGGAGAGACACAGAGGAGACGAATTGTTGAATAAAGTTGTTATTTTTGTTTTCTTCGTGTACAAAAAGTATTCTCGTCGCTTCATAATGTTACGGTTGAACCACTGATGGCAGATGGACTATTCTGACGATGTCTTTCATACTTTTCTGGACCTTGACAGTGTTATTTACTTGGCAGTCAATGGGACAGTCACAAGCCTCCCGGTTTTCATCCAAAATATCTTAAATTGTGTTCCGAAGACGAACTAAGCTTTTACGGGTTTGGAACGACATGGGGGTAAGTGATTAATGACAAAATTTCCTTTTGGTGTGGAGTAACCCTTTAAACTGCTGTCTCAGAAACACAAGCTCATACTGCCCTCTGCTGGTGTAAGCTGGGATATTATACACAATGTGAGATTCGTCCCAGACTTACCTGAAACTGTTCTCGTTCATAAGAGATGAGCAGTTCTCTGACTTTTTCTGAAAGATAGAGAACAAACAGAGAACTAATATTCAACAGTTCAAAACCATACTACAGTTCAAAAGTTTGGGGTCTCTAAGATTTTTTTTATATTTTTTGAAAGAAGTCTCTGGCTTATCAAGACAGCATTTATCTGATCAAAAATACAGTAAAACTGAGAAATATTATTACAATTTAAAATAACTGTTTTATATTTTAACATATTTAAAATGTAATTTACTCATGTGATAGCAAAACGGAATTTTCAGAAGCCATTACTCCAGTCTTCAGTATCCCATAATCCTTCAGAAATCATTATAATATGCTGATTTGGTGTTGCTTACATTTTTTTTTTTTGTGGAAACTATAATGCCTTTTTTTCAGGATTCTTTGATTAATAGAAGGTTTAAAAGAATAGCATTTATTTTAATTATGCATCTTCTGTTACATTATAAATGTTTTTACTGTAACTTTTGAATTTAAGGTGTCCTTGATTAATTAAAGTATTTTACATCTTTTTAAAAATTCTGAACAAAGCTAATGCTTTGCATTTAAGTGACATGAAATACCCTTTATACACTACAAAGGTATTTATTATTTTTTATGCAATTTGTCTTATATTGTAATATAATAGTCATGTTTCTCAGCTGTAGAAGTCCCATCAGTCTCTGTCATTTTCCTTCCCCAAAGTTCTCTCCTTTACTCTCTCCTTTACTGACACAAATGTCCAACTGGAGTTTTATGCGTAAAAGGCTACTCACTGTGTGCCTCGATCTCTTTCTGTCTGCGGAGTAGATCTTCCTCTTGTTTTTTAACAAACTCCTCTTCATCCTCCTCTTCTGATGAAGCATTCCAGTCCTCTGTCAGCTGACTGCCCATTTGGCGAGACCAGTACTCTTGATGCAACCAGTCCAACACAAATCCACAACCTGAAGAACACAAACAAACATAAACACAACGCACAAATTTAAACACTACAATGACATATGCAGCAAACAGAAAAGTTCAAGTCTGTTTGCACGAGTGACTGTAAGGAAAGAGTGGTCTTTCACCTTTTCGGCACCACTTTAGTGATGGGAGTCTGCGGTGTGTCAGATCATGCCTGAGGTTTACCACCCACTCTGGGATATTTATCTGTCAGAGAGACAAAATGTAGTCAGACTGCAGTTATAGCAGATTATGAAAGACGTTCATCTGAGTTGAAGTGTGACTTACATTCCCAGCTAACCTTCGTAAGGGTCTAGCAACTCTTTTCTGTTGCCGTTCTGTGATGAGATTAACAAACCTGAAACACAATCATACTCGTTACTCCAGTAACATCAAATGTACTGATTTGTATGGTTCAAGTGAACTTGATGGATGATAAACATACCGAACCAGTGCCATGCCATACAGCAGCACCAGATCATTGGCCTCCAGCTGACCCGTGCTGTCCAGCACCTGACAACGCACCAGGTCCGCTGTACTGTCCACAGCTACTGGAGTGCTTTGTCCGAACCTGTAACAATAGACAGCATTATCAAGGACAATGTTCCAGACCTGTCTTTATAAATTAGTTCAGACTAGAGTTGGGCGATGGCTACCAAATTGGCATTAGATGATGTCTACAGTGAAACATCGCGATTTTCATCATCAGAAGTTATTATCCAACACCCACGATCTGACCCGCATGTTCCAGCCTGTTTAATCTAATTTAATTAAAATAATTTTGAATTTTGTTGCTGTTTTTAGTTTGTGTAAAACATCTAGCCTATAATTTGTTTGGCGATTTTGCACAATAAAATCTTTACTGTTTAAATTGAACTGTTTTTTGTATGTAATCTGTATTGTGATTGGGAACAACTTCATTATGTTATTATTATTTTAAAAAATAATAAAAAATTCAATTATCTGAAGTAACTGTGCAGAAATGTAAAGCATGCATTGTACTGGGCGTTATTGGGGTTGCAGAGAATTACGATGCCTGCTCAACATCGCGATGTCTGCCAGCCATTGATGATGGATGGTGGCATTGTTTATCGGCCCAACCCTAGCTCAGACATTTTCAAAATGGGGTGCAGGGATCTCCAGGGGGCCACAAAAAAGACCTAAGCAGTTTGGAGAAAAACAGTGCAAAACAGAAACAAGAAAAAAAAAAAAAAAAGAAGCAATTAAATAAATAATTTGAATAAAATAAATACAAATGTATTAAAATAAAATTATGTAAAAAAAATGTAATGATAACAATAGATTTAACAGTGCTACAGCGAGTAGAAAAAATGATTAATGTAACAATAGAAACTAAATAGTTTCCAAGTAGTATTTTAATATTATTTATAATTTTAATTGTTCAAAGTATATTTTTGGTCTTTACACACAATAATAAATTGTTGCCTTTTACACTTTAGGAGGTCATATTTGGGGGTCCATAGCAAAAAAAAACACTGAAAACCCATAAGCTAGTTAGTTTAACCTGTCCCATGTCAGCATAGATTGAATGTAAGTGTGAATCTTCAAAAATAATGCCCAAAACACATCTCATTCCAAAACCAAGATATCACATTTTGCACAAAGCCAAAGTAATCTACTGTTAGAACCCTCCGAACTGCCTGTATTTTGACATTATTTCTAGGACAGTTTAAAAAATGTAAGCATTTCCTGTGCTGGGTAGATTACTTACAACTTGTAACATTAGTCCGTTACTGACTTAAAGGTACATGACGAACATTTGCGATTAGTAACGGTCCGTGTACGTTGCGTTCATTCGTTTTTTGATTTATTATTGAAAACAGAAACATGATAAAACGGCACCTTTTTCCATTTTTCGTATTAAAAAAAAAAAAAAAAAATTCGCCTTGATTTTTCGTTTTCACATCCAGGGTTAGAAAATTAATATTCGATTTCCACGTGTGGACGGGAATGAAACGCCCATTTCCGCTGATTGGTCAAGCAAAGGTCAAATGGTGCGTCATCATGTCTCTTTCAATTCCACGCTACAGAATATCAGTCCTCCGCTGCTATAGTTACAGCGTTTATTGCAACTACATTTCATCTTTCTCTCATCAAACAACCAGACTAAAAAAATGGCTTGACACAAACCGATTTTCAGAAAAGAAAATCGTAATTCAAAAGAGGAAACATCAGTTGTCACATGACCCAACAAACTGCAATCACAACATCTCCAAAACTGTGTGCAAGACATCAGATCACTCTCACAGCAGGTCCATCCCTGACCACCGTACCTGCCCTTCCACGCGGAGATCCTGTGCAGCGCGTGTTTCTGCAGCGCGGGCTCTTTGGAGAACAAATACTCCAGCACATGCTCGTACTCCGCTTTGTTCATCCAGGCCACGACGTGACGCGTCTTCCCCACCGTGTTCTTCTTCATCTTCAGATCGTAGACTGTATCATATGCGAACGCGGTAGTATCTGGACCCGCAACAAGAAAAGAAGTCTGTGCAGCTAGAGTCGGAGAAAACAAAACATACGATTCATGTAAATCTGATTTCCGACCACATCACGGTCCTACGCCCCTCCAGCGGTGCGGCAGGTTGAACGCTCCCCTTGCACAAGTGATGAACAATGGTTCCGTACGTGCCAACCAGGACACTTTCTACAAGAAGAGAAGGCTTAAAACAGAGCTGGGAATAATAATGTTAATTGCACTCAAATGACTGTTATAGGTGTAGTCTATGGCAATAGAGAACATTTTCCTCAAACTCTTGGTCAGTCAGAATGATTAATTATGAATAATAATTAATTAATTAATTATAATAATTGTTGTTAATAGTGTTCATCGTCTGTTTGATTACGCCTTTAATTGATTTTTCCGTACATTTCTGCCATATGTTTATTAACTGACAGTCACCACTGATAAGCTACTACTAAATATTGTAGAAACCTAATTTGCTGTAAAGTTGCTTTTGTATCGTGAAAAAGCGCTATACAAATAAACTTTAATTGAATTGAATTATTCAGCATGTGATGATGAGCACGATCAGCTATTTTCAGATAAGACACGTTTCAGTCAAAGCAGTGACAGTAAACCTCCAGCTCTTCTGATAAAACCTTGTCCTGTTTTTATATAGCACAATTAAATTGAGAGCTTAATTTGAACGCTTTATTAAACATCCCATTAACAATCAGCACTAACAAAAAGGAACATGCTTCTTCCATGTCTTTGGACCTGGTGCCATGGTACATGAATACGGCAATCATTTACCACTGCATATATAAAAATACTATTGTAATACATATGATAACTGTACCACCACAATACTTGTTGTACGGGACACCAGCAGATTGTATGACCCTCCAATGGGCATCTATAGGAGATAATATTCACAATTCACGATATTCTGGTGTTTCTTTTGGCAATTAGATCAGTGTGCTTACATGGTACTGAATATAACAGAAAAAAACTGGGGTATTTTTGTGCATGTAAACAGTCACTTTTTAAAATAAAATTACATTATAAAATGGCCTAACTGGCTCACATTAAAACTCAAAGGATATTTAAAATGATCAAAGTATACTCATAATAGATAAAGCCAAAGTTTTTTCTCTTTTTCCCTAGTAAAGTCCCTAAAGTCCAAATCCAACTGTAAAAACACATGTAATAAAAGATGCTTACCGATTTTATAGGACTATATATACGAAAGTGTTTGTTCTTCAGCAAGAGTTTTCAGTTTTGGGTTACTTCTAAGTTCTTTGTTTTGAAAATATTTCTCTAAAATGTAGTTTTATCAACTTTGAGACAAGTTACATAGCACGATTAAGTTTTTGGTCCATATAAAGTCTCGCCATGTTCCTCAGGCGTTCTTCTTCTTCTTCTTTTTTGGTGTTTATTGGCGGTTGGCAACCTAACTGACTGGTGCATTACCGCCACCGACTGGAATAAAGTATGGATCAGGATTTTGCTTGTAAGACAAAATAAACCGTAAGAACCAATCAAGACAAATAAATAAACTAGAAATGAAAACAAAACAAATAATAATAAACAAACAATCAAAAAGACTATATTATTTTATATGAGTCGATTTAACCAAATTATGGTGACAAAAAAGTCCCTCCTCAGGCATTTCCCGTACCAAACGATGCCATTCATCAGAGGAAGTCAAATCGAGCTAGGAATTTCTGGGGAAAATTACGTCACTGTTGGAATTGTGTGGGATACCCCCACCTCGCATTCCCAGAGCGCGCGCGTTGAAGCCCCGGCGTGGCGTCTGTGGCACACAAAGCAGCAGCAGCAGCGCATAACGGGGCCTGTGAGAATCCGGGCGGAGTTCAGTCAAACGCGCTTCGGCTGGGCTGGGTGTGGTTTTCAAAACTCAGTTCCGTTAGCAGGAAACGACTCTAGGACCACCAGTACTTCTCTGAGCGACAAAGACGCACTGAAAAGTTAAACTTTGTCTTCGGGAGCTGGAAGAGATTTGAGGAGAAGCTTTTCCACACGGGCGGTGGCGTTTGCGTTTGCTCACTCTTGCGCGTGGACGTCAGCCGATGGGAAAAAGTTTGGCTTTCTGTTGACTTCATTGTATCAACTCAGTTTGTGACACATCCGTGAGAGAAGAGACTAAATACAGACAAAATGCCGAAAACGGTGAGTACCCTTGAGAAATGGAAACTATTGGTTTGAGTTTGTACTGTAGCGAACAAAAATGGTTAGACATTTCACAGTGCTTTTAAAAGCTGCGCATTTTTGGTGAAACAGGAGACGGCAGCGACGCGTAGGCGCTCGAAAGGGGCGAGGATGGTCTTTCTCTTGTTGGCATTTTTGCCAGCCAGTTCCCGCGGGTGAACAGTAGGCCAAGCGCGATGCACTATTTATGGCAAGAATTCATTATTTGGACAATGACGGTAGTTCATCCCATCCGAACGCACTGAAGAAGAACTTGTTGCGTTGCAAATGAATTGGACGATTTCTCTACTTTATTAGCTTCTTTACTTTTCTAAACTCATACTTTCGCTGTGTGTTGTATTTTATAAGCAATAGTCTAAATCTATGAACTTAGTGGCGTTTTGTGTTGTATAGGGGCTGAACCGTTACTCGGTGACGGCCTGTATCCCCCTCTCTCCCCCCTCCAAATCTGATTGGCTTTCCATCAAAGTTGCGGTGCATAGACTGTCTAGTGGTGGTGTGGATTTTGATTCCCAGTGAGTCAAATCTTTTGATTTCGTTCACAAAAGATTCGTTCAGGTTCACTGACTAGTTAAGTTACATCATTAGGCCAGTAGGTGGCAACAAGACCGTCTTTTTGTGTTACGAGTTATTGAATCATAACCGATTCCATTCAAACACATGTTGTATTATCTTTTATTAAACGGAGTCTTCGGGATCTACTAAAAGACTGAGCAAACGGAAAGAGTGTTTAAGCCACAAATAATAACAAAACAAATTTTACAATCAGTCATGTCACGAAAGTGAATGAGAACTATTTGTGCACTTAAAAGATTCATTCAAAACGATTCACGTGTGCACTTAATTTAAGCCTCTGTCCAGCAGCGTAATGGCGCGTTTTGGTCTGCTTTTTATAAGTGATTCCGGATAAGAAATATGGGGCGTGTCAGAAGCGGCTGTTCCAGCGTTTTTGGAGCTCGTCTGTCACAAGGGAGGGCCAGACGAGCTCATGGCGCAATCTTGGACAATTTTTCATGCCAAGGCGTGGTGCTCACCCAAATACTTGGGGAAAAAAAAACAAAAAAAACACGGTCCCTGATTTTTTATTATTATTATTTTTTTGTTACACGTCATAATGAATGAATCATTGTTTTATTAAAGATTATATTTAAGACCACAGACCAACAGTAGGATGGAGGGACAAAATCTTTTTCTCACAAGTAGCTCACGTTTTTAGTTTAAGCAATTTCTTTCCTCGGTGAAATGCCTTTCAGTGCTTGAGTGTCACTAGTTACATACGAGTGACACATACATGAGGTGTAAGTATTCAAAAGTACAACTAGCAAAAAAAGTACCATGGACGTGTGCTATGGTCCAGGAGCTTGTACCATATTGTTCTTTGAAAAGTACCATGTAAATACCCAAATGACTAGTCTTTAAAAACCAACTGAAACAGAATTTCCTAGCCTTTCTTGTGCATTAACATGGAAATATGTGTGTTTCAATCATTAAAACATTAGATAATACTTTGTCCTCCTGAGAACCAGAAAAAAAAGTTTTGTGAACTTTGTTGTTTTTGTATGTCATTACATTGGATGGAGCATAAGAAACAAATGGAGAAGAAACATTTTATTCTATGTCCTTTGTAGAGGATGCCAGGACTGTTATTTAAAAAAAAAAAGAAAAAAAAAAAGACATAAAGGCATGTGTAGGCAAAAACGATGTTTTATCTTTTCATTCATCAATCAGTTTTTAGGTTTCAGGCTATTTTTAGCCAAACTTTGTACAGATGACTCTCAACTATGTTATGAAAGACATAACAGAATGATTTTTATATACTACTATACTTTATGGAATATGTGCGTAAAATGTCCATAAATTGGTATTCCCATTCAATACAATTTATCCATACGTTGCATCTAATTTGCATATTAATGTGTTCTTGCTGCAAACCATAATGAAAAAAAGAAGTGTAATAATGGGAGAAATAACTTTGCAACATTTTCATAAGAATATCTCATATTTCATAGGAATATTGATCTATAATTTCTTTCCCTATTGACTTCTTGTGTTTCCCCAAAATGCCTGATTAGCATGATGTTTGTCCTGGTGTTCTCTACAGAAGACATGTATGAAAATTATGCCTTGTTTTGTAACAGTCATATTCCGATTTGAAACCCCATAACATTTTTCTGAGATGTTTATTTACGAGAAACCATTTGAAAATTAGCCAGATTTAAATGCTAATTACAAAATATTATCATATTTCCCTAAGAGTGTTAAATTGGATCATTCTGTCAATATCAGTCATATTTAAAGACCAAGGAGAGGGAGTGTTTATGATCAAACATTTGATATCTCTAAAAAGCCTATCTATCTATCTATCTATCTGTCTATCTGTCTATCTGTCTGTCTGTCTGTCTGTCTATATCTCTGTCAACAGGATGTACATGAAAACGTGTGCATTAAATATTTATGACAAACTCTTGTTCTGTGAAGCATTGTATACATTAAGTACTGTTAAAAATATATTGTATACATGATATATACATTATATACTGTTACTGTTTGTTAATGTAATGTAAGTTATTAGCCTGTTAAATGGCCGTATTAGACATTTGAGTGTTGATATTGTGGTTAAGCTCCCATTTCAGTTTTTTTTTCTCAAAATAGCTCAGTCACATCCTTGCACAAAAGCTTACATGTAGCTTGTAGTTATTTTCCTCTCATGTTCTGAATGAAGAGAAGCTCAGGCCAAGAATAGTTGCGTGTGAATGTAGATGTTAACCGGATGTAATATCAGAGGGCGTTTAAGGTGAGAGAACAGATTAGGACATATTACATGACACTAAAAAGAAGAGTGTCGGTGAGGTTGTGTGGCTGACATGCCGTTTTTTTTCCAGAATAGATGGATTTTCATGATAATAGAAATCAGTCTAGTATAAGTAGATGGGTTTCTCTTGTCATTGGGGACATTGGATGCATTTAGAGGTTTGGATCTGCTTATGGAATCATATTGAACTGTAAAATGAGTCAGAACCTTTTTTCAGCCGTTATTGTAGACTCCTGCAAGTCCAAGAGTCTCTTTCCGAAAATGACTCAAGGTTTCTGTGCTTACACTGTGCTTACATCACTTCCTGTTTGAACGTTTCCTGTTCGGGGCCAGCTAGGCTTGAGTACCTTATTTGGAGGCTCAGTACCTTATTTGGAGTTTCACAGAACTGCGGCGTCCGCACACACACACACACACACACACACACACACACACACACACACACACACACAGACAGACAGAGCTTTGTGTAGTGAGTTTAGGCCCCTTTTCCTCTGCAGATTTCTGTTGTATCACAGCTAATGTACTAAAATGGCCTGTTTTATAATCAACACACTCCTCTCTCTCTCTTCCTTCACTCACATGCACTCACACATATGCATTTATCTCCAGTCATCAAGTTCAAGTTCATTTTATTTGTATAGCACATTTACAGCAGCCGCTAGGCTGACCAAAGTGCTTTACAGAAGAGAAATTTATAAAAACATACGCAGAAAAACAGATAGGTTTTTAGCAGGGACTTAAAGACGGGCAGAGAAGAGGCCATTCTAATTTCTAAAGACAGGGTATTCCAAAGCCGTGGCCCTGCCACCGCAAATGCACGCTCCCCTCTACGCTTAAGTCTAACATGTGGAACTACCAACAAAGCCTGGTCGCAGGATCTTAGATCATCAGTTTCTCTCAGTGTACTGAGTGGGAGTTTTGTGACCTCTCTGTAGGTTCAGGTCAGAGGGAGTGTGCAGGCGAGAAGTGAGGTACTCACTAAGGGTCAACTTAACACTAACCTTTGTGCAAAATTTTATAAACAGTTTTGTGTAAATTTATAGCCAGATCTGTTTCAATCACAGAAGTCTGTATGTGCACTACTTAGGGCTGTGCAAAAAATCGAATGCGATTTTCATGCTCATCTCGTCAGTAAAGCCGGTTCTGTGATTAGTAGTAAATCTCCAGCAAGTGCTTTCAGATGGAGCAGCATTTACAACACAGAGCCGTAGATCACTGACAAGCTATGCAAAATCGATTTTCAAGCTACAATTTTGCGTAGCTTGTCAGTGATCTACGGCTCTGTGTAGTTTGGGGTTGGTACAGTTTTCTATGTTTCAATGTTTTTGAAAGAAGCCTCTTATGCTGACTACGGCTGCATTTATGGCTGCATTTATTTAATAAAAAAAAAAACGAAT